GGACCACAAAAACCTCGAGTACTTCATGACAAGCCAGAAGTTAACTCGTAGACAGGCAAGATGGTCCTTGTTCCTTGCAGAATACAACTTCACACCGCAACACAAACCGGGGAAGGTTAATGACACTGCCAATGCTCTGTCCAGGAGGTCAGACCACAGAGGGGGGGTAGAAAACAACAATTCTGATCGCGTGCTTTTAAAACCCGAGTTTTTCCACATTAAAGCTGCAAAAAGAGGTCAGATTCTGATAGAAGGAGAACATTCGCTGTTAAAGTGTATCAGAAACTGTACCGATTTAGATCTGGAAGTCTGAAATGCTATCGAAACTCTGAAGAAGGCCCCTGTACAGTTAAGAAGAGGATTAGAAGAGTGGAATACGGAGGATGGACTCATTTTGTTCAGAGGATTGGTTTATGTCCCCAACAACAAGGAAATATGTCGCTCAGTACTAGAGATCTTCCACGACTTGCCTGCAGCAGGACACATGGGACATGCCAAAACTCTTGAACTTGTCTCGTGGAACTATTGGTGGCCTCAGATGCAGAAATGGGTCAATGGCTACATAGATGGGTGTGATTGATGCAAGCAAACGAAGGTGCTACCATCAAAACCCCACGGACCCTTGAAGCCAAACGAAATTCCAGAAGGACCATGGCAAACTATTAGCTGTCACCTTATTGTCGATCTACCCATCTCCCAAGGAAAAGACAGTATTCTAGTGGTTGTTGATCGCTTCACAAAGCAGACACATCTTGCTCCAACGATCAAGGATGTTAATTCCAAGGGAATCGCGGACTTATTTCTCAACCATGTATGGAAGTTGCACGGAACACCGAAGAAGGTGATTTCGGATAGGGGAACACAATTTGTGTCCAAGTTCATGCAGGAGGTCTCGAAAAGACTAGGAACCAAGTGGTCCATGTCAACAGCATATCACCCTCAGACAGACGGACAAACTGAATGAGTCAATGCAGAAGTAGAACAATATCTTCAACTCTTCATGTCTTATCGTCAGAATGACTGGGTATCGTGGCTCCCTATTGCAGAATTTACACATAATAATTCTGTTACAACTACTGGACACTCTCCATTCAAAACCCTCTATGGCTATAACCCCGAATTCATCATTGCTCCCAATTCCTCTAATACTGTCCCTCTAGCCGATGAGAGAGTAGCCAAAATGAAGGAAGCGCAGGAAGAAGCCAAGGCAATGCTAGAAATAGCAAATGATCAGATGAAGCGATTCTATGATCATGGAGTAAAGGATGCACCAATATTGGAAGTTGGACAGAAGGTTTGGCTAGACACCAAAAATATCAAACAACAGCGCCCAAGTCAGAAGTTGTCGGACCGCTGTCTTGGCCCCTTTGAAATACTCGAGTGAATAGGCAAGTTAAACTACCGGATCAAATTGCCGCAATCATATCAGATCCATCCAGTATTTCATGTGGGATTACTCACACCCCACAAAACTTCCACACTAACGCCGCAAATCGCCCCCATACGTCCACCCCCAGAAATAGTCCAATCCGAAGAAGAGTATCAAGTAGAACAAGTAATAAGCAGCAGAATGCACTGACGGAAACTAGAATACAGAGTAAAATGGAAGGGGTATCCATTGGAAGAGGTGACATGGGAAAGTGAGGAAAATCTGAAGAACTCCCCCAGATTAGTCAGCGAATTTTACGCCACACACCCTGACACTCCAAAATCGCATTGAATCGCTTGTTCTATCATTCCAATTCTACAGACACCCGGTTTCCTCGAATGGAGACAAAAAAATATATGACCATCTTACATTCGCGAGGACGCTCATCTTAGAAAGGGGGTAATGTCACAAATTCCAAATAAGAATCATTTTTCGTTCCTCGGTTTCCCTCCGGCTATTTCTAGTAACTGAACCGGTCACATGACTTCACTTCCTGTCACACCTTCACCTCTTCACATATCACCCGTTGCTTCTCCGATTGGCTCCCCTACTCCACGGGCTAGAACGATCTCACTTCCAGAAGAAGAACTGGTTGGATCTTGGGTTTCTATTTAGTAACCGTCTTACTCATTTGCTTATATATCATGATGTCATGATCAATCATCTGCAATATTGTATGACTCTTTTCTCATTGGCTGATTTCTTTCATACTCAGATATCTCCTATTCAATGTTGTGTATATAAGTAGGTTAATTAGCATAAGTACTCCTTAGACTTAACCTCTTTGTTTCTACACTTGTAGTAGACTTAGACGTTCACGCTCAATCCTATCTTGTCATCATCATCTGTGACCGAGTCCTAGTGGTTGTGATCTGATCTTTACCATTCGGTGAACGTTAGTCATAACATGTTGTGTCATGTCTCAGATCTTAGGTCTACAGCCGTTGATGAGCAAGTACCGCATCAGCAAACTACCGGTTTTGGATACAAGATTCCCACAGTGACACAACTAGCACAGCCCCACAGCAGTGCAGTGCACAGAGTGCACAGAGCACACAGAGCACACAGAGTGACAGTGCGGCACAGTCTCGCACAGTGCACAGGGTGAGGCAACAAAGTGTGATGTAAATTATTGTTAAGGTCATGCTCAAGGGGGAGGTTACTCAAAGGGCTTCAGCTTCAGCTCGTGCGCTGCACCCCTTACCTGAGTACGTGCCCTTAATTTCTGGGGGCAGAAGAGAAGTCTGACGGAAGTCCAGGAAGTCCAGAGGTTAGATGTCAGGGGAATTCGGCGGAACTCCGGAAGACTATGAGGGAGACAGAATAAGGCTACTGCAGACAAGTCTGGAGTAGAAACAGACAGAGGTTAGACTACCTTAAGGTAGAGCCGGAGATTTAGTCCTAAGGTTTAACCCCTAAGACTCGGAGGTAGACGAGAGATGAGACTCAAGTCTGGAGATGCAGGAATGAGCAGAACTAAGATGATATTCGAATTGAGGAGTTCCAGAGTATTACAGGAGTTTATATACTGTAGGTATCATATAAGTAAATCAGTCAGCAAAGGTAAGGGCTATGTATGAAGCATGTGGAAAGTCTATTAGTAAGTGTATAACAGATCAAAGCAGTGAAGTCGGAAATGAAGTAAGAATGGACAGATCAGTAAGCATAGCGGAAAAGGACATAACCGGTAACTGGAGCAATAGCTATTCTAAAAGGAGTTAGGGGTGAGTGCGGAGATGAAGGCAGAGCACCGTGCGAGATAGCAGGATGGAGGACTGGACTTTAGTGGTGGGGTTCCGGAATTCCGGATCCGGAGGTATGGGATATGACAATTATAGATTAATATTTTTCTGGTCTTCATCAAAATATAAGACACTCGGAGAATGCATTTTACAGCGCAACAACTTACAGCTCTTTGCATAAAAGATGGCACCGGCATGAAATTTTCGTTCAATTAGGAAATGTTAGACTTAGTGAAATTTTGCTCATTGTACACTCACATCCCCTGTAATTCATTATCATCATGCCATTTATAACTATTCCTGCCTCCAAAAAAACACAAGAGCCTGCTAGAGCATGACAGTGACCTTGATTCCAATGGGTCCAATGAGGACAATATTCGACATTGCTGGTTTCGTGCCAGAGCTTCAAAATCCACAGCAATCTAGGATATCATGAAGGCTTAGAAGGTTCCATTCATGGAGTCGGATTGCCGCAAGTTTCACATCACGACTGATCTTGTGAAACTCCATGTTGCGAAGATGATAATATAAGGGTAGTATGAGTGTACATGAGCAAAATTTCACTAAGTCTAACATTTCCTAATTGAACAAAAATTTCACGCCAGTGCCATCCTTTATGCAAAGAGTTGTAATATTCATTTAATGGAGTACTTCAACAGACAGCTAAAATATAAAATGTGCAATGCATATATGTATTGACAATCATGTACATGGTATAAGGCTATGGTCCCTAATTTAATATCAAACAAACAGATATTCTAATTGGTTGTGCTCACCAGCAACTGCATACTGACTTTCAGAACAAATTTGCTTACATGACTTGATGGTGGATTTTGGACAAGGAGACCAAAGTGACTGCTCTGAGCAGACAAACCTGCACCTCACCATGAGAACACGTGTGTGCCCTACATTAGCTTCTGCATCTCCAAACTTTCTCTTTGCTTTCTTTACTCAAAGTAGTAGGTGGTGTTTTCGCATGTGAAATTGATGAAGAAGCCACTCAGCAGGGTCCTTCTCGAGATGTCGAACTTCAAGATCAGCTTGTGCCATCTCAAGCAGGTATAATGCTTCCTCTGAAGTCTCTGGTATTGATGCAGTGTGAGCATCAAATTGGTCATGTGGGTGGTGGTGTATGTACTGTAAGTAAAACTGATTCAAGGCAAGTGTTAGAATCCAGCTCATAACTCACCATCTTATACACTTCTGAGTGTTCAGATGTATCATCTAGAATGTCAGAGTCTAAATCTACAGAAGGAGTTGTAGGACCTGACATTTGTTGGCCTCTAAATATTGAAGATGGGGAATGAGATGACTGGGATGGTGAGACATAGCTTGAACAACACTTTGACATTGTAGTTACAGTTCATGTTGTGCTGGAAATTGCCAAAACAATATTGGATCCAAATTGAGTTCAACAACTTTGCATCTTCGATATGCATTGTCCATCCTGCAGCAAGTGTTTTAAAAATGAGGGACATTTTCTGCAACATCTGAATCAGCCTTCTTCCCACTGTTACAAGTGGGATGGTAACCTAGTTCGCATCTCAAGACTAGCACGAGCTCCAAGTCCTCAATTTTCTCTCCATGAAGATATGGATTTGACCTTTGACCTGGAGTATATGGACCATGGAGTTGATGCAGACACTGAAGTGGAGTATAGGTCTTCAGGTTCACGGGCAGATTATGGTGAAGAAGTGGAGGTTTATGATGGTGCAGGCAAGATGTGGGATGTTGGAAAGACTTTCATGGACCAATTCAGCGAGGATGAATATGCTGCAGAGAGGGAGCAAAACCAATACTTTCCTTTCACTAGCAAACTGAACTGGGAGATGGCATCATTTATTCTTCAGTCTGATCTTAGCATGGCCAATATTGATGAGTATCTTAATCTTGAATTTGTGAGTTCATCTGTCCTCTAAATCACTTGGTCTAAACTTATGTTCAGACCAAAATGCTCCCGTTGTCATTTCACTCTTCATGAGAACTCTGAGGATGTGCTGAATTGCTCCCAGCTCCCCCTCAATGGAAGTATCAAAGGGTCACTACCAAGTTTCCAACAACAAAGACCCTTCAAATATTTTATTGGGATGCAATCGAGTGCTTGCAGTCACCTCTCAGTCACCCACTGTTGGCCACCAGCTTTGATTTCATCCCATGCAAGGCTTACGAGTCTGCCGAATGTGCTGTTTGAGTTTATCATGGTTTCATGACGGTGATCATGCTTGGAACCTTCAGGTAAGGTCTCATGTCTCAATTTCTTGTTCCGTATAGCTAACAAGACCACAGAAAGACCTACCTGAAGGTGCATCCCTCCTTGGTGTAGTCCTCTCCTCAGACAAGACCAAGGTCAGCAACATCGCTGGTAACCATTATGCACATCCACTTCTTGTTAGTCTTGCCAATATTGATCCTGGTGTGTGTGCCAAAGGCTCCTTACATGCATATATCTCACTTGCTTTGCTTCCTGTTGCAAAGTTCATGCACAGGAACAAGCACATGCATGGGGTTCTTGCAGACCACTTACTTCACCAATGTATTGACCTCATTGTTGAGCTGTTGAAGCAGGCTGCCCGTCTTGGCATTATGATGAGTGATCCACAGGGTTTTAGCAGGTATTGCTTCACCCCCCTCATTGCTTATGTTGCAGATACTCTGGAGGAACTCATAATTGCATGCACCACTATGAACTCATCACCTGTCACTATGGCTACCTGTGGAGACTTTGGAGACCAAATCCGACACCCTCCTCGTGATGGATCATCAACCCTTGCCAACATTGCAGCAATTATCACATCTATCTCACTGTCTGATCTCATTGCATTCTTTGAGGCATGCAAGCACTATAATCTAAATGGTGTCAACTTGCCATTCTGGAGGAATTGGTTTGCCACAAATCCTTCCTCCTTCCTCACTCCAGAACTACTTCATCATCTCCATAAAATGTTCTGGGACCATGACTGTCTCTGGTGCGCAACAGTGGTTGGCTCACAAGAAATTGATTTTTGTTTTGTGCTGCTCCAGGTGTGCACTGGTTACTGTGCATTCAAGGAGGGAATCTCCACTTTGAAGCAAACCACAGGGCAAGACCATCACAATGTTCAATGGTATATCATTGGCGTGATTGCTGGTGCTGCCCCTGCTGACTTCATATCTGCTATTTGGGCCCTCATGGAGTTTAGATACCTCACTCAAGCCCCACATTTCACTAACAAGCAAGTAGTAGATTTAGACCGCTGTCTTAAAGTCTTTCATCAGCTCAAACAGTCTATTGTTGACGCTGGTGCTCGGCAGGGAAAAGGGGGTGGTGATAAGCCATGGGCAATTCCAAAGCTCGAGTGGCTGCAGGGGGTAGTGCCCTGTTAGGTACCGTGCCGACTCAAGAAGCAGAGGGGTCGGGGCTTGGCTTCAGCTCTTGTGCTGTGCCCTTAGCCGAGTACGTGCCCCGAATTTGGAGCGGGTCCGACGTTGTCCGATGGTAGGATGAGTGGTCCGCTTTGGTCCGCTTGGAGGGTCAGGGAGTAAGAGCTACTAGCGGCGGGCCGACTAGGAGCGGAGCGGAGAAGGCGGGGAGTGATGCAGAGGGTGGATAGGAGCAGGGGAATGTTTGGTAGGGGCGGGAAAGGTGGAGGATAATGTGGAGGGACAAGGGAGGATAGTTGATAGGTGCAGAGTATAAGGGAAAGACTTAGAGCACGGCTCTAAGTTGGAGTGGAGGGTTGGAGGGTCGGAGGTGACAACAAGTTGAGACTTGTGTCCAGAGGAGGCAAGGTCCTACTGAGAATTCTCACAAGATATAACTGCAAGAAGACAAGTAATATTAAGACTGAGGAAAAATATCTAAGTACATGATATGTTATATACTACTATGTATGAGGCAGTGATCAGGATAACTATGTAGTAAAGCTATGTACCAAGGATATAGTTTGTAAGTATTTTACATAGGCGAAGATATAAGTCGGGGCGGATATCAATATGTACGCGTCAGATCAGTGATTGAGTGGTAATAGGAATTACCAGTCATCCGGAAGTAAGGGTTTATGTACCAATGGGGAAGGTATATATCTAAAAGAGGAAAGAGATCCAGTTGAATGGAGAGGTTATGGAAGGGGACCGGTTGAGCGGTTGAGCAGAAGCATAGGGCGGAATGTGGACTTGTGATTGGACGGAGCGGAGGATGGATGGGGCGGAAGGGTTGGAAAGCGGAGCAGATATCAGTATCGGAGCGGTCGGATCAGGTATATGACAGCCCAGTATTTATTCACATGGCACTGTCATGCAGTGGTCTGCAGACCCCACTGAACATGCGCCCATCAGGGTTGTGAAGGAGCCATTGAGGGCAGGGAACAATCATGACTATGATGCGCAAGTGTGTCGCCACCTCGATTGTCATGATAAGGTGGAGCACTTTGACCTCGCACTCCAGATGTATGTGCAGAAGGACCACGAAAGTGACAAAGACAATGAGGGTGGTCTTGCCCAGCATTTTGTCAAGGACTACTTTGCTTGCGCATGTGACCTCATTAATGGTGTTCATCCTCAAGCTCCCCATCCCTATCAAACATTCTCCACCTCAATTAACGCTTACCATCTCAGCTATGACCCCACCCTCACAAAAATGACAGTGGATAAGGCTGCTGAAAACTTCTCTCTTCCTGACCTTCGTCCTGCAGTCTCTGATCATCTCAACCAGGTGGATGCCCATGTTGATCATTTCGCTGTTGGTGGGAGGCGCCGTGCCCACCCTGGCTGCCCCCTCTGTTACAATGGTGCTATATTTTCTTTTCTCTTTCTTTCTTTACTTACTCATCAAGTCTCGTGACTGCTTATCAACACGTCCAACACGTGAACACTTACCTATATGCTTACTCATTATGCTTACGCAGATGATTACTCATACTGTTCCCTGATTGGTCGATCCAACATCGTACCATTTCTCATCTCCTTTTCTGATTGGTTGATATTGTCTTCCTATTCTCGCTTACCTTTCTTGATAGGGTCATCTACCTACAGACTGGCCCTAAACTACCTTCTTGTTACATATATATATCATGTTTCCTGTACTTGTATTCCTTAACTTGAATCTACTAGGTTCTCTCCTGATACTTCGAGTTCACCGATCTAGCTGCCTCCTAAGCAGACTAGCCTGAATACTTGATCTAGCGAGCCCTTGACACTCGACTAGCCTGAACCTTTGATCTTAGAACTCGTGATACGCTTCAGCCTTGATCATCCTTTATTGGAACGCTGAAGAAGAACTATCCTAGTCGTAACACCCTCCCCTTTGAACACATTCAAGTATGGTGCAAGATATGGACACAATCAAAATCTTTTCACGACCCTGAACAGCTTGAGCCCTCACAAACACTACACACTCAACCACCCTCCAATGCCTGGCCATACTGCTGATATGACTCTGTCATCGTTAGTACAGGCAACATGCACAAGTGGCCAAAAAGTGGACTGGATGGTATGTTTTTATGCCTATACTGTCATGCTACTGATGTTGACAAACACAGGACACTTTGTTGCTCACCTTCGCTTAATTTTTCATCCCATCACAACACTCTCATACTCCAAAACATATCTTGCATATGTTGAACATTTAGATGTTGTGACTCTCGACGATTCTATGGGTATGTATATCCTCAGGCATGCTCGATGAGCGAATAATGACTGGATTGGCAATGTCATCCCGATTACTCAGATCATGGCACCCATCCATCTCATCCCATGTTTTGGTCAAAAAGTCGATCCACGACTCACAATGCAAAGCAGCATTAACCATGCCACAGAGTTTTACCTGAATAAATTCTGGAATAAGGAGCTTTTCTTTGCACTTCATGTGACTGGTAGATAAGTGCTAAGCTCTTAGCAACATTATCTTTAGACAGATAGGGGTATTAACTAGAATGGTGGTTTGTTTCATTGGCCCTTGTTTTTAGCCCATTGTGAGAGTTGATGTGGCACAGCGCCCAAACTATGTAGCTGACACGTCAGTTTCTTTGTTTCTTGCACAATCTATAATGGCTGTGGTCTTTGGAGACTTTGTTGGAGGTACATACTACTATACTCGCAACTCCAGAGGCAAAACACCTGGATCTGATACAAAAAATGAACCAATGACTTCAGGGATGCCAGTGTTATCCATGACATCTTCATGGATCTCTAACAGATCAAAATGATGTGGCCCTAAGACAGAGACCCTGCATTCTGCAGATGTAACTTGTATGCTGATGGATCACTTAATCTCAGCATAGATCACTTACTTTACATATTTATAGGCAAATCATCAAATACCCCAGCAGTGGTGCCAGAGACCAAAACTGTAGCAACTGCCAAGCCCCAAGCTGACACTGCAGTTGTGCAACATGATCAGGTTTTGGGTATCACACATGTTATCACTGCAAGACCAGGTAAGGGTGCTGGTCAACTAAGATATCATTGTTTCTCATAGTTCGCTACTAGATGGGTGCTATGAGCAACTCATAGATGCTCTTCAGCAGGTCTGGGTGGAACCTGTATGCTTTATCAATGTCTCTGCTGCCAATCATGTGCATCTTTTGGAGCACATGTATGCTCTCACATTTTCTCATGTTGATGTTGTAGGATGTCATATCTTCCTCACAGGATGAATGTCCATGCACTATGTCTGCTCCTCAGCCTTTCAACCCTCAGTAAAGATATATTTTATAGGCATCGCCCACTACTGTTGTTGAAAAGAGTCGTCAAGAATTAGGGTAGCCCTATTGACAAGTGGTTTAGTGTGAGCCAGTTGATAGAAGGAATGAAGAAATGAACAGCCTGAAGCATAGACTGCATCAGGGTTTCCTGAACTCACACAACACCATATAGATGGTGTTGAATGCAGTGTATATATCTTCCCTGACCTAGTGGAGGAGAGAATGATAGCAGTGTCAGCAGAGGGTTCAAACCGGGTCCACCAACACATCTTGGAATAATCTAAGAATCACTAATGAGAGATAATAAAATAAAAGTCTTTACCTTTGCACCCGTTAACACTATCTTTCCCGACACAAAGATCAATAACATGACCTTTGGCTTGAGCATGCGATAGATGAGACCAGGGAACAACTAAATGCGTGTGAACACATGACAGTCTCTCAAATACTGCAAACATACCTCAGGTTTGTAACTGCTGAACTGCCCATGGCTATATGCAAGACCCTCCAAGTGAATGGGGAACTTCACATCACAACTTCCGACAATGTTTTGAATCTTGAACTTGGCAAACTTGGTGTCAAAGCCAAGTTTCTACACAATACACGCATACTTGTGTGATGCCAGGCACGAGTCGTCTTCGCTCTTCACACCCATGATGACCATCTTGCCCGAGGCGAAGATAAGTGCTGTTGTCTTGGGGTCACGAATATGCATGATGACAGCTGCAAAACGCTACCGTGCAAAGCGCATTGGTGTGCAACAACACACAGTCAAACATGTGTGCGCTTGACTCCATGGCTCATCTGGAGGTCACTGGGGAGGTCAAAGCAGTTAGCAGCAGGTATAGTTGATATGCCAAGGACCGAGTACAATTAATGACTGGTTAGAATCATATGATACAGAGAAGAACAATGTTGCAATTCAGTTATAGTCTCGTCACATACTACAGTGACCAAACTCTGTCTTAGACGGGCCAGCCGAGGGACATAATACACCGTCTTAGATGGGTTAGCGGACCATGGGCCAATGTAATAATATCCTCATTGAAGATGGGTGGGCTGAGAGGCAAATTATTCCCGATTGAGATGGGTGGGCCCATCTAGGTAATATCTAGAGTAGAATACAGTAGATGAGTTGGCTGAGGGAGATGGATCATAAAGATGAGTGGGCTGAGTTATTAGTATATTATATGGACAGATGGGCCAAAGTGGATGTGAATCATATGGATGGATGTGGCAAGATAGATGTATCATATAGACGGATGGGCCGAGGTAGATGTATATCTTGTAGATGGGTGGGCCGAGAGAGATGCATATCATATGGATGGATGGGCCGAGGGAGACGAATCTTATATGTACGGATGGGCCAAGGTAAGACATATATCATATAGATGGATGGGCCAAGATAGATGGATCTCATATGTATATAAGATGAATGGGTGGGCTGAGGTGGATGTGTAAAGTATGTATGGGTGGACCGAGATGAATGAATGCTGTGAGGATGGATGGGTTGAAGTGGTGGTAAATCAGACTGATCGGTTAGATGATGTAGGTGCATCAATGATTATTGAGCATGGAGGATCAAGTAGCAAGAACCATCATATAAATGAGTATCGAGTATGGCAAACAGAGTACCGAGTACCGAGTCCTGAGTACTGAGGATCAGGGATGGCGAACTGGGCAGCGAGGATCAAGTACTGAAGGACCAAGTACCGAGGATAAAGGATGGCAAACCATGAGTACCAAGTATGGCCAATGGAGTACCATGTACCAAATACTAAGTACTGAGGATCGGGGATGGCAAACCGTGGAGTGAGGATCAAGTCCCAAGGGTCAAGTACTGAGACCTGAGAACCGAGCACCAAGGATCGAGGATGGCAAATCACAACCTGGGTGTGGAGTTCCGAGAAATGAGTACTGAGTACCGAGGGTTGGGGATGGTGACCCAGGCACCGAGTATCGAGTACTGAGGATCAAGGACCGAGGGCTGACAACTGAGTACTGAGGATCAGGGATATTGAACCGGGCAGCGAGGATCAAGTACCGAGGGTCAAGTACCAAGAACTGAGTACCGGGTACCGAGGGTTGGGGATTGCGGACCGGTCACCGAGTATCAAGTACTGAGTACATATACTGAGAGCCAAACCAAGTACTGAGGTATCGAGGTTGGAGAGCCAAGGATCGAAAGCTGAAAGGCAAAGACCAAGTTCCGAGCACCGAGATGCTCAGGACTCGGAGAGCCAAGGATCAAAGCTGAAAGGCAAAGACCGAGTACTGAGCACTGAGATGCTCAGGACTCGGTCCTTGGGACTCTTTGTTACATGCGCGGGGCTCAGAGGTTTGCATAATGGTGGGTATGCAGTACTGATTGTTGAGTACTCTACAATTCTATGGTACAAACAATTCATAGTATTCACACTATAGTACAATGGATTGTGGTATATCTACATTTGCATCACGGCGTCCTGCTCATCACCAGAATCATATTCCGGAAGGAGGTTGAGGGGTGACCCATGCTCAACAATCTCAGTGGTGCTTGGGCCATCCTTGGGAGTCTCCAAAGGGTTGGGGTGCATTGCCGGGGGGCCCGGAAGTGCGAAGGCTGATGCGAAGGTGGAGACACCATCATCGGCCGGGCTGTGAACTGCTTTGATGGGAACCATCGATGCAATGGCAGTTGCAGGGTCCAATGCCGCTTCAGTCTGAGAGGGCAGGATTGTTGGCTCCATTACCGGGGCAACGATGGTGGAGGCTTCCTCGCCTGTTGAGTCGGTGCTGAAGTCGATGAGCGGCAAGGGTGCCAAGTGCACATGGGACTGCAACCCAGGAGCGGCTTGATCGAGGAGTAGAGACAAAGGTGTGGCGGGAGGAGAATCTGGGAGAGGGAATGATGGATGTCACTGCATGATCTGACGTCGAAGGCTCTCATGCAGCCTTCGGAGCATATCAATTGTGCTCTCCTGTTCAGAGGCACAAGCTTCCAGAGCTGCAATGCGATTCGCACTCTTGCGAATTGCCATTGACATCCAGTGGAGGTCTGGGATTGGGAGGTCCTGGACTGCATGGGTGGCAGCCGAACTTGATGATGCAATGACTGGAATCAAATCAATAACGGTAAATGTTGCATCAATTGAATTGACTTACCAGCTGCAGGGGGGATGGGCATCGTCGCTGAGCCCGAGGGCTTGCTTTGGCCCCAGGACCATGGCTTGGGTGGGTTTCCCCGAGGCTCACTCAGAGCTACCGACGGCCCCCAGGATTGGCTTCGGGTCCACACCGTCAACTGGGAGGTCAATGGGCCTGTCGAGGAGGCCCTCGTCCGCTCAGTAGACTGTCCTTGAGTGGTGGCGGCAAGGGTCCCGAGACGTGCTGAGATGCACTTCACCTTCTTTGTAGTGCACAGGACACATGACATGAGGGCCGTGCCCTTCCACTTATTGAACCTGGTGGTGCACAGCAGCTCATACTGCATGCAACACCTGCATGGGTTGTTCTGCGGGGGATGGTCAGTCAGTCAGGACAGCGAAATATATCTTGTGGGACTCACCAGTCTGGGAATGAGAATGGCCCCGGCGTCCACAACTGGGGGCACATCCCTCAGGCTCTCAGAAGTCGCTTGAGACGACTCAGGGATGTCAGGGCGCATGAGCGGAGGTGTCTGCTGAATGTTAGAATTGGGGACCCAAGGTAACCAGTCTAGCTTACCATTCCAGGGCTGAAGGGGGCCTTCTTCGGAGAGCCTGGGGATTGGGGAGGCCCAGAGGGCCTTGATGGTTGGGCAGGGGAAACCCGCCAAGTGACAATCACCGATGGTGTGTCTGAGCGGGGCTACACCACTGCATGAGTGAACATCAACACGGAAAAAACGAAACATACCTTCGACGACCTGTCCTCCTCCTCCTTGTCCAATGAATCCACTGATTCCCTCAATTTTTGTTCCTGCCCCGACTTCCCCCTCTTCGGCATCTTCATTGCCGACTTTGGGACTGGCTTTGACATCCGGGAGAAAGGCCACTTCCTGTGCAGCTTCTCCTGCTCATCCTTTGGCTTCTCCCTCTCCTTCTCCTTCTCCGGCTCCACTTCCCTCACCTTCCCTTTCCCCTTCTCCAAAGCATCACCATCCACACTCATCGAGGGACTGGGAGCATTGTCGGTGTCACCACCATTGACCTCGTGTGCGAGATCAAACAAGTGGTCGCCCAAGGCTTGCCAGGCGAGGGCCTTGCTGCGCCAGCTGTGCTGCATGAGTCGAGGGTCGTCATGGCCGATGATCTGCCAGTTCAGGGCCTCCTGTGGAGAACAGTTGCGGGTCTGGATCAACTCTCTTGAACAAGACAAGACGAGCCTGGGAAGGCATGTTGAGTCACCATGATCCCGGACTGCCTTTGCCTGATAGGAGATGAGCGATCATGTATAATACGTGTTTGATATCATATACACACCACTAATTCACTTGCCTGGGTCGCCAGAGTGAAGTGACTTGGACCAGGGGGAATTTGTTGGGCAGCGCAGACGATCACGAGAAGTTGGCCAGTGATCTCCTTGAGATCGGCCATGGACTTGTCGGCTTGGTTGGACATCGAGGATGAATAGATTGATAATAAAAGTTATGAAATGTAGTGACAGCTAGCAAGGAAGCAGTTTTACAAAGACACAAGTCAATCAAACTTCGGTCAATAAATATTTCATTGTTGTGGATTATTTGCACAATGTTCACATTTCGGGAGTTTGCAAATAATCCACTCATTTCAAGGATCAAATTGTGAGATCTGTGGATCAGTTAGACCATCAAGCACAATGCACTCTCACCCCACAGTGCGATTCACAGAACCACCGGTGACTGACATCATCGAAATGGACATCGACGACGCTAGTCAAGCACAATCATCGACAAGCTTGACAGATCCATGGATGAGAGAGGAACGGCTGATGTTCGGTAAGATGTCTTCCTACATGCTTCTATTCGTTAACACATGCAATCAGATGACTTGTATCTTGGGCTGGATGATGAGGTGGAGTATGAATCCATGCCCCCACACATCAGTCGGGAGCTATATCTCGGCCCGGAAGATGACTTCGATGGTGGGATTGGTGCGCCCAAGCCGTCCCACCGCGCAAGCAGTGATCCCCCAGGCCAAGCCATCAGTCCGGTACTGTACCTTGGGCCAGAAGAGATGTCCGATGAACCCATGGAATATTGTAAGTGCTTCGTGACACTAGGCCTTCCATACCTGATTGACTCCATCAGTGAATCCACCCAATGCTGAATGCCTTTCAGCACCTCCGGCCCTCAACAATGAAGAGCTCCAAGCTATGATTCAGGAGTGCTGGCCTTTTGGGTCATATCATGACGTGGGATGTGAGTATTAATTGCAGGTCTATGTCAGCACATCGTTCTCATTGCTATCATAGTGCAGAATCTTCAAACCCGACTGGTCAACTTCACAACTACTCACAGAAACCTTCCAGACCCGTCCATACCGCAGCTCCTGGAGGCAGAGCAACCATTTCAAACTGCTTGGGCGGAGACATCTGACAAGCTGGCATGGGCCGATCAGGAGCTTCAAAGGATGCAGAGGGCTGAGCGGGCGAGCATCAAAATGCTCAAAGTCGTAGATTCACTGATTCAACGGTTCAAGACCCAAATTCACCAGGGTCAAAGTAGGATACCCGAAGATGTAGATAGCACATGACCATAATCCTTACATTAGTGTATGATCATCATATGTGACTTCACAACCGGGCACAATTGAATAAAAATACTTCGACCGACAACTGAGATCTCGATTCTCTGTGCATTGAAGAGTGATCGTCAAGCATCGGTTACTGAATACTGATGCCCAAGCCTGAACGATCACAAAAACAACCGTTGACAATGAAGTCCTGTACGCCGATTGCTGAGTGCCGACCACCGTCCACCTACCAGCAAGGCATTTGGCATTTGGCCCTATGCACTCGACAGCTGATCATTGGCATCCGGTCGTCGGCAGTCGATCATCGGGTTTCGGCAGTCAATTGTTGGTCGTCGGCAATTTGGCATTCGGCCCTATGCAGATCGACTGCTGAGGACCAAGGACCTCTGACCGAATACCAATGGCCAATTACTGACGACCGAGTGCTGACGACCAAGTACCGACGGCTGATTGCTGACAACTGACAATCAACTGCCGACGACCAGATGTCGGCAGTTGATCGTCGGTCGTCGGCAATCGGCCGTCGGTCCTTGGTCCTCGGTAATCGGCCATTGGTATTCGGTCCTTGGTCCCTGGTCCTTGGCAGTCGATCGTTAGTACATCGTCTTTGGCAGTTGATATTCGGTGCTCGGTCGTCGGCAGTCAGTCGTCGGTAATAGGCCACTGGTATTCAATTGGCAGTGCTAGGTCATCGGCAATCAATCATCGGTACTCGGTCATCTGCATTTGATGGTTGATTATCTGTGTATTGCACAGACTACATGGTCATTGTTCTTGATAATCAGTACTCTCGGAGGATTCGGCTGACTACAATGACATGATGTGGTATGATGCAATTACTTCCCTGCCCTCGCTCTAGTGACTCTCCTAGGAATATCTAATGACTTTTCCATGGTCTTACTTCGAGTTCTGCTTGGAGGTCCCACAATCACCTTTTTCTGTTGCTGGATTCCCTTTGGCACTGGGGACACGTGTGTCTCCTCCTCCGTCGCAGCTTCGTCTTGACAGTCAACTCCTCGGTTTGCACAAGTCAACCCCGCGAGGAGATCTCCCATCTGTGACCCCAGCAGCCTGTTGCACTGGCCTTGCCGGCCTCACCGGGCAAGGCTTTGGAAGCGGGTGTTGCACTCCTTGCCCAATGTTCCGGGCTGACAGCGGTCCTGGCACTACCCGAACCCCCTGATGGACGGTTCTAGCACCATCCTCATCCATGCCAGAGTCATCATCCCCTGGTTCATCATCCTCCGATAACACTCGGCTGTCTTCGGAGAACCGGTGGGCATTGGCAGCAAGGGCATGGTGCAGCTGACCATCGATCTCGGATTCCGTTGATGAATCCTGTGGCCTCCTGATCATGATGCCCCGGTGAGGGATGCAAGCATGAGACTTGTCTGATCCCCTGGTCGAGGCTGGTTTCATCATGTTGCCGACTGTGTTCTTCCATGCTTTGAACAGGAAGATCGGATCATCACCATTCTCCTGGTGAGCATACCAGAAGTTCAGCAAGGCGGTTGCATCGGAGTTTTGCAACTTCAAAGGGTCCTTCAAATGCACCCTGCTCGGAAGATACATTGGTGATATGAAGTCATCCTCACATTCTATGATGGCACTCCAAGGGACGACGGCCTTGTCGATGCCAGAACAGAGTCCTGGGCACATCCGGTCAACTGATTCTTGCATGATGTTGCCAATGCAGACTCACAATAGTGTGTTGTAAGGAACGCCCTCACTATTGCTTTCTTCTCCTCGAGCTTTGTTTGCACGGTGTCCGGAAGCGATGGGATGCCTTCCCCATTCACATCAAGTTCGAAGGCCGGTTTCCTAGGTCTTTTTCGATGTCCCTTCTCCTGTTGTTCGCCATCCCTTGCCTTGGCATCTATCACAGGAACCATCAATGTCACCCTCCGCATCCCAATAGCTGTAACACTCACTGAACTGTGCTTGTGCATACTCCTGCCACATTGGTTCGATATCCTCCCAGTCCTTTGTCTTCATGAAGCTGTCCCCATCTCCCAATGCCTCATTATCATCGTGCCTACGGGAAATCTGTTGAGATATCAGGTCTACCATGACATTTGCAATGCACTTACGTTCCGAATAGCACCTGTCCCTGCTCATTCTTCCAGGTGGACAATACAAACACTCTCATCCCGCATTGTCTCCACATCTCATTGGAGAAGTGCTCCATGTATGCAGGTCCCTTCTTACTGGTGACTTGCACTTGGATCTCAGGAGGAGGAATGTTGTTGGACCATTTGTTGGCTTTTTCTTTCGCCTTCTCCAACTCTTCATCAGACAATTCTTCCATCGCCTTCTGGATGGTCGCCTGGTAATACTTGAACATATCCGGAGCTCCTGGCTTCACCCCATATTCCGCCTCAATCTTCTTGAGCACATCATCTCTGTTCTGCTGATAGACCACCATCCTAGGGGTCCATTTCCTCCCATACTTTATCATGTCCTTTGTTTCCTTCTTTTTCTTGTTGTTGAACAACCAGGTTTTATAGATCTGAGCGAACAACAAACAATCAGTGTTGAAAACATTGAGGTTTCAACCTGCATGGATGCATCACCTGCTTCCTCTTTTTCCATTATCCATGGTCGAGCTTCAGAGAAAACAACCTTGCTGCTCAAGCTATGGCTGTGAATATTCCTGGTTTTCTCGTGCTGTTTTGCGGCAGTCCACTCAGGAAGGTAGTTTTTGAGTTCCAAGATCTCTTGTTCCGTGAGCTTTTGTCTCGGTTGTAAATGTCATCCATGTCTTCTGTCCGAGCAGTGAATGGAATCCCCCGATCTAGCCATGGTAAAATGGAGTGCAGGATGCACGTATGGGAGGCAACATTGAAGAAATAATTGTCCTGAGTTCAAATCTGAGCAAACCTTACATCTTGGTTCATCAATGAATTTCGGATGCACTGCCTTGCATCCAAATGAATTCATAATAAGCCTACAACAAGACTGGATGACCCCATAATAGAATCACAAATTGTTTGACCTCCCTCAGCGAAACCTCAGCCAATGACATCAGAAGTAAGATGAAGATCACTCAATCGACCCCTGTGCAGAAATCATACAGGGTGGAAACAAGGGGCAGGAAAGGTAGGAAGACATGGGTCAAGGTCCCACTGGCTAGCACGATGAAATGTGCCAGCAGGTGCATGCCTCCATCCCCCCCAGAATCACCGACACTCGATCCTGCTCAGGCTCTGCCTTTGTGGGAAGACATCGCCGATGATGCGTATGAGCTCAACAAAGGATCCTTTGACCCCTTGCACCTGCCGAAAACCATCACATACTACAGTGACCTAACTCCGTATTATACAAGTGAATGGACATACATAATATCCCGTATAAGATGGGCCAGCGGACCATGGGCCGATGTTATGAATATCCTCAAAGATGATGGATGGGCCGGGAGTGATATTATTTCTGGTGGAGGTGGGTGGGCCCATGTCAGGAATAAGTAAGGTAGATGAGTGGGCCGATGCACATGAGTATTATATAGACGGATGGGCCGAGGTAGTTGGATATTATGTAGATGCATATACCAAGGTAGGAGCCCCTTCAGTGACAAACTCCATATTATACAAGGCAACTGACGTGCATAATATCCCATATAACATGGGCCAGCGGACCATGGGCCGATGATGAAGATATCCTTGATGTTAATGGATGGGCCGGGAGGGATATTATTACCAATGAATACGGGTGGGCCCATCTAGGTAATATGTAGAGTAGGATGGACATGTATATTATAGACAGGTGGGCTGAAGAGAGATGTATATTATATAGACGGGTGGGCCGATGTAGTGACATTATTATCTAGACAGGTGGGCCGAAGGAGCAGTTTATTATATATGATATGGACGGGTGGGCCAATGTAGTGGTATTATTATATAGACAGGTGGGCCGGAGGAGCAGTTTATTATATATGATATAGACGGGTGGGCCAAGGTAGTAGTATATTATATAGATGGGTGGGCTGGAGGAGCAGTTTATTATATATGATATAGACGGGTGGGCCGGAGGAGCAGTTTATTATATATGATATAGACAGGTGGGCCGACATAGGGTATATTACATAGACAGGTGGGCCGAGGTAGTAGTATATTGTGTAGACGGGTGGGCCGACTTAGGGGTATATCATGTAGATGGGTGGGCCGAGGTAATTGTTATCATATAAACGGGTGGGCCAAGAGAGCAATTTATTAGATATTATATAGACGGGTGGGCCGAGGTAGTTGGATATCACATATATGGGTGGGCCCAGATACGTATCATATAGACGTATGGGCCGAGGTGGTAGTATATTATATAGATGTATGGGCCGAGGTAGTAGTATATTATATAGATGGGTGGGCCGAGATGGTTGATATCATATACACGGGTGGGCTGAGATAGTTGGATAACATACTAATCAGTGTGCTGATGTAGGCACCAGTACATACCCACTGTATGAGTGCATACACCTATCATTGACCACCGAAACGAGAAACATGAAACCCTGAATACAACATTTCATAAATTAGACAAATCACCAAGTACCTAATACCGAGTACCGAGTTCCGGGTAACTAATATCGACATCTGGTGTGGGTACAACAAGTGCAGCGGAGAGAAATTGATCTACTACAAAGTTGGGTCTTTGTTGCCTACTGCCTCACTTGAGAACAAGCACGTTCGACCCTAAAGGGGATTGCTACTGGGGAGTGCTAATCTCTGTCTAAACGACCCTATTCAACCCTACTGCAGGTAGGATGAGGATCCGCAAAAATGTGGAACAAGCAGAACTAGCGGAACTCAAGCAGAACAAGCGGGACTCAAGCGGAACCCAAGCGGAATGGAATGGAATGAAGCGGAACTCAACTGGATACAATGCGGAATGTAAGGAGTCGTTGGAACTTGCAGGTCAAGTCGAAGGAAGTATATCACAAGGTTAGATTGATAGTGGGCATAAGTCAAAGTGGTCCTCTAGTAAGGTGAAGGGAAAGTGGGAAGGTAAAAGATGGGATTTGATCCCAAAAAACACCCAAGCCCTGAGTACCACTACTTAAAGGGAAGATTATTTTCAAGGAACACTGAGGTACAGGTAGTAAGTTCTCAGGAAGTGGAAGTGAAGGTAGGCAGTGCACAAGGGCACAATACTCCGGAATAGGGGTCCGTGCCATAAGGGCATGTGTCAATTTGATCCAGATAATGTTAGGAACAACAGGAAGAGAGATACAGCGTACCAATGGACCTGGAAGGATGGGGACAGGACATGCGAAGGTTGTCTGATGATGTGCAGGAATACCGGATAGTGCAGGTGGGTTCCAAAGGATGCATGAGAATGTGGAACTCATCGGACGATGCACGGGAAATGCGGAACGTGCAGAATATGCGGAACTGATGTGAGACGAGGCGGAAAGGACGGGGTTTTATGCCTACAGTGGGGGAATTCCCCACACTGGGTAACTTATATCGAGTTCCGGGTATTTTGTAAATCAGACAAATCACCAAGTACCGAGTTCCGAGTTCCAGGCATCGAGTTCCGAATTCCAGGCATCGAGTTCTGAGTTCCAGGCATTGAGTGCCAAGTACTGAGTTCCGAGTTCCGGGCATCGAGGGCCAAGTACTGAGTTCCAGGTACCGAGTTCCAGGCATTGAGCACCGAAACACGAAACTAAAATACAACATTTCATAAATTGAACAAATCACCAAGTACCGAGTACTGAGTTCTGAGTTCCGAGTTCCGGTGCTCAATGCCCAGAACTTGGTGCCTGGAACTCGGTACTTGGCACTCAATGCCCGGAACTCAGAACTCGATGCCTGGAACTCGGAACTCGGTACTTGGCACTCAATGCCCGGAACTTGGAACTTGGTACTTGGTGATTTGTCCAATTTATGAAATACCCGGAACTCAATATCAGTTACCCGGATGTCGATGGATGTTACCCGGATGTCGGTATTAGTTACCTGGACATCAGTATTAGTTACCCGGAACTCAATGATTTCATTCTTTGGGTATGCCAGAGGTACAATGCATTTCAACAACATTTACAGAAATCTAACTACCAAATTATGTAGACATTTCAACCTCGCCCAGATGACCCTCATCACCACCTTCAACTTCAACCTTCACCTCAACATCCATCTCATCAGCAGAATCATATTCCGGGACAAGGTTGCATGGATCATCCGGCACCAAAATGGCTCCGGCAGTTGGGGGAGTAGGTGATGGGTCCAGGGCTGGTTGAACTTGGCTTGGCTCAAATGAAAGACCCTCAATGGCAGAGGGATCCTCCATTTTCGAGGGTGTGGGCTCCATCACTGCCATCGAAAGATTGATGAGAGGAGGGAGTGCGGATTGGGAGGGTGACGTTGTTCCAGCGATGGATTGATCAAGCAACAAATACATTGCAATTGCTGGAGTAGTGGGAAGGGGAAATGAGGGATGGGGTTCCATGGTTTCACATTGAAGGCTCTCATGGAGCCTGCTGAGGGTATTGATATGTCTGCCCTGCTTGGCAACAAGATCCTTGAGAGCCTTGATGCGTCTGGCACTATCGTGAATACTGATTGCCATGGAATGGAGGTCTGGCATGGGGACATCGAGAGCCGCACGAGGCATGTGGCCACTCGAAGACGCAATTGCTACAAAGCAATAAGATAAGATGATGATGAGAAATTTGAAAGACTTACAAGCTGGTGCAGGTGAGGGTGTAGGTGGTGGGGCTGGTGCCTTGACAGCAGTTATTGTCTTGCTGCAACCATGCATCTTAGGTGTGGTCACAGCAGACCCACTGGCAGTTCCAGCAGCACTGGCACTGGTAGCTCCGGCTACACCACGAGATTGGCTGTGGGTCCAGGCCTTTGGTTGGGAGGTGGATGGAGCTTTGGAAGGTGTCCAGGACCTGGCCTTCCGGGTGGTCGACTTACCCCATGACTGTTTTGGTGGACTTCTGAGGGTGACAGAATAACACTTTACCTTCTTTGTGTTGCAGAAAACACAGGAGAGAAGGCCTTTCCCAGTCCTCTTGTCGAACCGGGTCGTGCAGGGCAACTCCGCATTGTTGCAAGCCCAGCATGGGTTGTTCTGTTTGTTCAGTTAGTTGAAGGATGCCCAATGAATTTTCAAAGTACTCACCGGACCGGGAATGAGAATGTCATCTGTATCAATGACAGTTGGCGCCATGTCCAGGGTGACCGCGGGGGTATTGGATGTCGAGTCCAAGTGCTCAACGACCTCCGGAGGGCTTCCAGCAGGGCCATCAATGACAGTTGGTGCCACCACCGGGGTGACCACGGGGGTGTTGGACATTGAGTCTGTCTGCCTGGCGATGTCCGCACGCCTTCCGGCAATTACCTGATGACGGTATGGATGACCGGGAGTGATGCGGGCATAAATTAGACATACCTTTGCAGGGCCAAAAGGACTCTTCTTGGGGATCCAGGGTGAGACTGAGGTGAGATGATGAACTAAGATGACCGGCCCTCCTTGCGCAGCTGGCTGCAAAATAATGAGTGACAACAAAAAAAAACAAACAGAATGACATACCTTGTCCTCATGTTCGTCCTCAGACTCCACAAACTCAGCTGACTTCACAACATGAGTTGACTTTGCCCTCTTGTGACTCTTCATCACAGATTTCAGTGGTTGGGAGGAGGGTCCCAAAATCAGGGGCAATTTCCTCTTCCTACTCCCATCCGCCTCAGGTTCTGGGTCAGCATCTAACGCCTTAGCCTTACCCTTATCCTTACGGTTCTCCCAGGACTTGTCGATAGTGCTGGACAATGGGCTGGCAATGCTGCCGGTGACGGCAGGTGGGGAGGGAAGGTCGACCGCAACAGTGTCAGGGGATTTGGGGGCATCAACCGGAAGATCAAATGTCCGGTCGCCTAAAGCCTCCCATGCGGAGACCTTGTGGCGCCAGCTGTGCCTCTGGAGGCACTTATCGTTATGGCCAATGCTGTGCCAGTCAGGCGAATCCTGGGGGGACACCTGCCGAATGCGAAGTAACTCCTTGGAGCAGGACAAGACTATGCCCAGAATGCAAGGTGCATCCTCATGGTCCCAGATGGCCTTAGCCTGCCCAGACATTAGAGGAAACGAAAAGAAAAAAAGGAAAAACCACATACCACCAGTTCAGTGACTTGTGCTTTCAGAGCCAAGTGGCTGTTGCTGGGTGGGAGGAGCCAAGCCGCGCAGACAATGTCAACAATCTGCCTAGTGATTGCCTTAAGTTTGGCAAAAGAGGTTTCAGCTGCAGTGGAAATGTTGAATGATGAGAAAGATCTGTAAATCTTTGAATCAGATGTGAAAATGATGAAGTTTCAGAGGGAAAACAGGCAGTTGAACGGCCATGTAAAACTTTGTTGATTTGTTTGGCTTTGTTTGGCGATGGTTCAACTTTCGGAAGTTGCTGGACTTCAGTTGAACTTCAAGTACACAATCAATTATTGGTACTTCCGTCCCTCACAAGATGAATTCACATCCAACAGTCAGATTTAACAATCCTCTGGCGACCGAGTATTATTCAATGGACGTAGATGATTCAACACAGTCCTGGACATCAACAGGTAAGATCTATTTGTACTATGCCTTATCTATATATGCCTTAGATGATTTATACCTTGGGCCAGATGATGACATAGAAGATGATTCCGTGTCTTCCAGTGGTCCAGGCGTGTTGGCTGCAATCCCTGGTACATTTATCACTTGGATATTACCATGCATGCTCACTAAACTCGTACAGATCAATTACCTCCAGCTCAATATGATCAACCAGTTCAGTACATCGACCCAGACTTGTACCTTGGGCCTGATGAGGATCTGATTGATTGTGATGATGAGCCGGGGTCTATCTATGCAAGGTGTGAGTCTCCGGTCACATCTGAAGTTTCAATGTCATGTAAGTAAATTCAAAACATTTTTCGATCGAAACTTAATTTATCTCGCAAGCGAATGAGAGACCCGCCGAATGCGATCCAGCACATCCGGAGCTCACAAATGAAGATTTGTTTGCGATGGTTCGTGAGTTCCAGCCAATAGGGTCATTCAAACACTCTGGATGTGAGTATCTGGCATACTAATATATCTATCATTTTTCTTATTTTCATTTCAGTGCAATCCCTTCAAGATAGACTCAGCAGCTACAAACAAGATAATGGAGGTCTTCCGGCCCCTTCCATACCACTACTCATCGAGGCCAAGCGACCATTTCAAATCGCTTGGGTGGATACATCTGACAAGCTCCGGAGGGCTGATGCTGAGCTACAGAGGCTGAGAAGAGCTGAACAGGCAAGCATCAAAATGCTCAAGGTGGTAGATTCCATGATTTGTCAGTGTGAAGAACAAAACCAAAACTAAACTTCTGAATTTTCGATACCATCACATGTAAAGTACCAACTCAGTAAAATACCAAATCTTCGATAACATAGTCACATCACATGTAAATTACTGGAACACAGAGGTGTTACATTACTGCCATGTAGAATAAGTAATCTATCAAGAGTTCCGGGTATCAAGTTCCAGGCATAGAGTACCCAACACCGAATATCGAGTTCTGGGTATCGAGGTCCAGGCATCGAGTTCCGAGTTCCGAGTTCTGGGTAACAAATACCGAGTTCCATGAATCAAGTACCTGCCCGGACCTCAATGCCTGGACATTGGTAATTGATACCCAGAACTCGGTACATGGTGATTTGTTCAAATTACTCAGTGAACCACAGAATCTTTGACCACATATTAACATCACATGTAAATTGAATACCGATTGAATAACATTGATAGTAACATATGAGACAATGGTACATGTACATTACTTTTTGCCCCTTGCTCTAGTAACTCTGTCAGATGGTTGTTGCACTGACTTACTCCAAGTTGTTCTCGCCGGTGCCTCAATTGCATCTTTCTTCCCCCGGAAGCTCTTCAGGGCTGGCAGTGGAACTTCATGTTCAACATCGCCAGGGCCCTCAGCCTCACTCTCGGATTCAGTTGATGAATCCCAAGGTCTCCGGATCATCACCCTCTTACGCTTCAGAGGAGGAGGTGATTTCTCGGATACAATGGAATCTACCATGTCGCCTTCTTTGTTCCCCCATGCCTTGAACAGGAATGTTGGACCTTCACCTGTCTCTTGCCGAGCATACCAGAAATTGAGCAAGGCGGTGGTATCCCAATTTTGCAACTTGGAAGGCTCCTTCAAGTTTACATCCGCCGGAAGATACTGTCTGGCCACAAAGTCATCCTGACTTTGTATGATGGCACTCCACGGCACGACGGCCTTGTCAATCCCAGAACAGATCCCTGTACCCTACATTAAAGAGATTCTCTTAGGAAGTTGCAAAGCCAGACTCATGATAGTGCTTTGTAAGAAAAGCCCTCACTATGGCCTTCTTCTCCTCAAGTTTTGTTTCCATGATGTCTGGAAGCAATGGCATCCCATCCCTGTCCATTTCCAGATCGAACACTGGTTTCTTCATTCTTTTTTGCCCTCCCTGCACCTGTCGCCCTCCATCCCATGCCTCACCACCTATGATCCCGATGATCAATGAAATCATTCTCATCTCCACAGCGGGAACACTCACCAAACTGTTCCTGCGCGTACTCCTGCCAAACCAGCTCTATGTCCTCCCAGTCCTTTGTCTTCATGAAGCTGTCCCCATCCCCTAATGCCTCGTTGTCATCATGCCTATGTGAAATAAGTTGAGACCAAATATCTGCGATGATGGATAAAATTCACTGACATCCCGAACAGCACCTCTCTGTGTTCATTCTTCCAAGCCAACAACACAAACACTCTCATCCCGCATTGTCTCCATATATACAGGTCCCTTCTTACGGGTGACTTGCGCCTGTGTCTCAGGAGGAGGAAAGTTGTTGGACCATTCTTTGGTGGTTTCTTTTGCCTTCTCCAACTCATCCTTGGACAATTTGGCCATGACCTTCTTCACCACAGCTTGATAATGCTTGAACATGTCTTGACCTCCTGGCTTTACCCCGAACTCGTCCTCAATCCTCTTTAGCACTTCCTCTCTGTTCTGCTGATAGATCACCTGCCTAGGCATCCATTTCCTCCCATACTTTATCATGTCCTTCCTTTCCTTCTTTTTCTTGTTGTTGAACAACCAAGTCTTATACATCTAAGAGGCAGAGGAAGAATCAGACATGAAAAATCGAGTTTTTCAACACAACAAGGATGTATCACCTGCTTCCTCTTTTTCCATTGTCCTTGGTCGACCTTAGGAGCAAATAACCTGGCCGCTCAAGCTATGGCATTGAAAACTCCCCATTTCTTGCTCCTTTTTGCAGAAGTCCACTCAGGAAGGTAGTTCTTCAGCTCTGAAATTTCATTTTCTGTGAGCTTCTGTGACTGTGATTGACGCATTCTGTGTCTTCTAGAAGTCAACTGAGTGGAATGACCTGATCTTGCCATGGTGAATAAGATTGCAGAATGGGCTGAGGATAAGCAAAGTGGAAGTAATAATGGTCGCGAGTTCAACTTTGATCAATGCCTAACAGTTGGTTAATCTACCTATAATGGATGCAACGCCATTCATGGAAATGAATTGGTAATGAGCCAACCAAACTGCATAATATGATGATGGAATAACAATTCGTTTGACCTTCCTGAGCTAATGCTTTCCTTGCAACATTGAAAAATAAAATGAAGATAGGTCGTTGCACCCCATTGCAGAAATCCCACAGGGTAGAAGCAAGGGGCAGCAAAGGTAGGAAGACATGGGTCAAGGTCCCACTTGCCAGCACAAGACGACATGCCTACAGGTCCATGCCTAACTCTCCCCCGGAATCACCAACACTTGAACCTGTTCAGGCCCCACCTCCTTGGGAAGACTTTCCTGAAGATACTTACAAGCAAGACCAAGGGGCATTTGAGCCCTTGCAACTCCCAAAAACAATGGCAAGTTCATGTAAAATGTTGGAATGTTGTTCCAATGATAGCTAAGTATTAAAAAATGCAGAGTCAGAATGACTACCTCAGGCAATGGCTGCCAAGGCAGGAATCATATCTCCATCACCTCCTGGATTGAGAAGCTCCACCAGAAGATAGGAGATGCATCATCTGTGATCAGGATGGGGTCTTCAAATGTCAAGATTGTCTTGGGGAGCCTCTCTATTGCACAGGCTGTTGCTGGAGTCAACATCGTTGCAATCCTTTCCACTGGATCAGTCAATGGAATGGTCAATTCTTCGAGCAAAGTGGTCTGGCTCATGTTGGACTCATCATATACCTCAGTCATGATGGCAAGCCATGTCCGGTAGTCACGGATAGGTGGGATTTGTTTGATGAAGATGAACAAGAAGACCACTTTGAACCTGAAGATCTACCTTCTGTATCAGGACCCAAGTTCCAGCCCAAGGAAAATACAATGGTCATTGTTGACAAGTCAGGAGTCCATCACCTCGAGGTTCGATGCTGTGATTGTCTCGATGCCATGAGTCCAGACATTCAAATGTTTCGACATGGCTTTTTCCCTGCATCATTTAACAAGCCGAAGACCATGTTCACCTTCAGAGTGCTAGATGATTTTCTGTTGGACAACCTTGAATGCGGCACCTCAGCGATGAACTATTACAGCAAGCTTTGGCGAATGACCTCAAGCATGTTTCCACACCTTGTTCTGGTAATACCATATCTACATCATCTGAAGCACATTATATTGACAAAGCACATTGCAAGGACCAATACAGAGAGCTTATGAGAGTCGCTCGACAGTGGAGGCAGTTAAAGTCTATGAAATGGCATGGCTTTGGGCATAGTTCTGAGAACCCAAATGCCGGAGATCTCGCATTATTCTGCCTAGCATGTCCTCAGCCCGGGATTAACATATCCTTGTCAGGGGATGAATCACTTGATGAGTGAGTCTCTTTCATTACCGAATCTACGTCGGCGATATTAAAAACTCCAAGCTGGAAATACACCCAGTCATTTGTGATGGATGGAAATTTCAAAGCCGAACACCTGCATCCCATCAAGCCATATGATGAAGTGTTACGGTTGTCTGTGACACCTTTCATTTTCCTCTTCACCCTTTCACATCTTCACCTCTTCACATTGACACCATGTCACAGTGTCACCATTTCCCAATATCACCCTATCTAGGGTTACTCTCCGACTTCACCTTATCACAGGTGCACACCCCTATTCATTGATCTGAGATCAATCTCGATCTATCCTCGGCAAGTCCTCGGATATTACTTACATGCTGATACCTAGTGTATTCTCACAGACCCTTAACATGCATACACCATGTGTATTCCCATGGACACTTATCTATACTTATATGGACATATTACTTATTCACCCTTGACCCTGGACCCTGACTTACTATTGTATATAAGCAGGTCGTAGTCTCGATGATTCCTCATCTTGACCTACGCTGGAATTACCCAGATACATCCTCAGACTACTAGTTAGACACTAGTGAATCCACCTTGATTCCTCTGACTTCTCTAGAGTGCCACCTCTAGTAGATTGATTGACTTGAAACCTCCTCTGATTACCATCAGCGTAACATGAAGTATGGCTCTCCGATGGGTTGGGATTTATGGTGGGAAAGGAAAGGTATTGAAAGCATCTTGAAGAGGCTGCTGACACTGTGGAAAAATTGAGCTGCAACAATCATTGGGCTGTCAATCAAGCAAATGCAGCTTGGCACAAGCTGGAGTCCACCAGTATCGGGGGAGTAGCCTGTGCCCAACACAGTTGCTTTGTCCCTCACTCGATGGTAGATTTCCAGAAAGGCGAAAGGCAAGCCGGACATGCCGTTCAACATTCACGAGTTGACCATGCGTTGTTTGCAGACAAATGAACATGGACTATGCACTTTGTGAGGCTGCCCAGCACAACATGGATGGTATTACAAGGGCTGTCACCTTCTATGACATCAACTGTCAATACAACAAGCACTTGCATGTTCGGGTGGATGGAGGCTGATTTTCTGACAATGATTCTGGAATTGACTGTCATTCCCGGAATTGGGCTGTGGCATATCCATGGACATCAGGATAGCTGCTATGTCAGATATGCGTCGAATTTCATTGAAGGCATTGGTCGCATTGATGGAGAGATAATGGAGACCCTATGGGCACGTCTCAACCTGATTTCTCCTGCTGCTCAGGGAATGTCTTCCCCGCATCGGAAGGAATGTCTTGATTTCCAGATGAACGATTGAAACTTTTGCAAGATGATCCGCATGAAGAGGACCCTTTGCTGGAAATACAAGCAGGCGAAGAATGGCATCGCCGAAAGTGGAAAGGCTTTCAACAGACTCGACGAAGCCACACCGGCCAACTTAAAGACAGACTGGTTAGCAAGTGAGAGGATCGCTCAGTCCAACAGAATACAAGATCCAGCTGCAATGGATATATATGAGATTAATATCAAGAAGGGTGAGATCACTCTGTCTCAATTGAAGTCTGAATTCATTTTGAACCCAGCACCGAGCAAAAAGGAGATAGAGCTTAGACTGCTGCAGGAGGGTAATGCCCATCATGCAGCACCTTCTCGCAGATCTGTGGCAACATGGATATCAATGGGCCTGGCAATTGAAGAGGCTCAAATTGCATTGCTCATTGAGGTCTGAAGAATAGGAAAAAGAACTACTGAGACTCAGAGATTAGACATCGCCCGGCAATGTGATTGTCTACAAGGCCAGATAGATGCATTCACTTGGACTGCTGTGGCGCATCTGGGAGAGGAATTTGATGCAGATGACAATCCTGACGATTTGAATATAGACATTCTCAATGATCTTGATGATGACCCAGAGGATTTCATCAGGACATCCGATACATGGACAAACTCCCCCGAGCTCACTGTCATCCCATTGCCATCAAACCTCGGGGTAGATCGATGCAAACATTGTATGGCAGAGGATCTGATTCCACTGGAGTTGTCGCTTCGTGAAGGACAGGCCGATGATGCCCTTCACAACCTCTGAATTCACTTGTGCAACAAGGCAATACTCTTCCAAACAACAGTTAGGCAAGCCAAATCTCAAGCATTGAAAACCTGAGCTTGGTCCCAGGTGACGTCAGTGCAGCAGGCGGTGTCCCTCCATGCCAGCATATATACCAAGACCAGGAAGAAAATGATAAAACTTGAGCTGGGCCAAGACCAGCTACAAAAATATAAACCCCTGCTTCGGGAGCAGCTCAAGGTCAGCACGGCCATTGGTGATCCTAATGCCCGAGGTCAGCAAAATGAGTCTCTCACTTGGTTCTGGTCTATCAAAGTAGATTTGGGGGGTCCGGATCACTCATGGAATGAGGAATGTGAGTTCCGGCTTGCTTGACAAATGCCTGCGATCTGACTGGACCTATGTGAAGTTTACTGTGTTCATTGGCTTCGGGCAAAGGCACTATGGGATTGATGGAAGGAAGAACTGATATTGGTGGAATTGGAGATGGATTGGACATGTAATTTCTTCTTGTGGAAATCAATGCAATGGGGCGACCGGATGAGGGAATCATTGGTGAAACGCCTTCTGGGTCATGCTTGCTACTCTGGAAGGCAATCCCAAATGTATTCATCACTGGCACAGGATGCTCAGGCAGTGTTTCAAGACCTGCAGAGCATGTTAATAGATGCCCAAGATGAATGAATTGTGAATATTTTCTGCTGATATATGATTTGATCCCAATAATTGAGTCTCGGCCAGGGGCTGGGTCAGCCCATGTTGGAGTTTGAATTCCTTATCAATCCATCAGTGGCTCCCGTCTGAAAAAACTTTCATTATCATTGCTAGCGTCCTACTCCTGCATTGCCCATGTCTGAATTAAATTCACCTCCTGCATCCACTTTTGCACCTCCTGCATCCACTTCTGCCACTGAGGATTCCGGCAATGAATATAAACACCCCACAATGAGTCTTGCAGATATTGCAGCTACATTGGCAATGGCTGCATCATGCATTCAAGCCTGTATCAGTCAATATCAGACGGAGGCTGCTGAGAACAATGTTCCTTTGGCTCAGATAATCTACTTTAAAGCCAGAATCCAATGGGAGATCACTGTAAGCCATCAAACAGATGACTGTGGTTGGGAATATGCTGAGATTGCCAACAGACTTTTGTGACACCGAATCTGCAGTACTCAGTTGCAAGGAACATAATTTCGGTTATACCACCCCTGATCGCTCATATTCTTCCCTTGTTTCCTCAGCTCATATGGAATGCGGTTCCAGACCACATCTTTTCATCCCACCTATCCGAGTTTTGTCTGGTCCGAGATCATGGAGAACCCTCCCGGATCATATCCTCCTATGATACTCCATGGTGGATGGGGGACACTACAATCTCTGGTGAACCATGGCAATGGGATCGGGTAATAGATTCCTGTCACTTTCACTACCAGCATTGGCTAGTAAGCATTATACCCAACTTCCTTGATAGATCACTAATCCAATCTAGAGCAGCGTTGAGGACAATGGTCTCATCCTTCCAGAGCAGCTGGACGGCACCCCAGCTCCATCACTGGTGGGACTGAAGTGGATTAGGGAACGCCTGGTGTTGTTGATTCAGGACCATCAGGAGGGCATCTGTGATAAGATGGTGGAGATTGATATGTACACTGACACCCTAGCCCGTTTGAAGAGAGCCAGAGGGGATGATCCCTATTAAATGTTAGTGTATCAAATGTTTATGCCCTTAGATGTATGTTGTACAGATCTTTAACTTTGGAGAGCATGAATAATGAGTTGACTCAATGTCAAGTTCCGGGTATCTAGTTCCGGGTATCAAGTTCCGGGTACCGAGCATCGAGTACCAAATACCAAATACCGAGTATCGAGTATCGAGCATTGAGTTCCGGGTATCGAGTATTGAGTTCCATGTATTGAGGTCCAGGTGTCGAGTACCGAACACCGAATACCAAATGCCGAGTATCGACCTCCGGGTATCGAGTACAGAGTTCTGGGTATCGAGTATCGACTTCTGGGTATTGAGTAATGAGTTTCAGGTATCAAGGTCCGGGTGTCGAGTACTGAACACCAAACACTGAATGCCGAGTATCAACCTCCAGGTATTGAGTACCGAACGCCGAATGCCGAGTACCGAATGCCGAGTGTCAACCTCCAGGTATCAAGTTTCAACTTCTGGGTATCGAGTATTGAGTTCCAGGTATCAAGGTCTGGGTGTCGAGTACCGAACACCAAATGCCGAATGCTGAGTATCGACCTCTGGGTATCGAGTACCAAGTTCTGAGTACTGAAACCCGGAATCCACATTTTGTAAATTGGACCAATCACCATACTGAGTACCGAGTGCTGAGCTCAGGGTGCTGAGTTCTGGGTGTCAAGTACCAAACACCGTATACCAATTACCGACATCCGGGTGTTTAGTGCCAAATGCCGAGTTCTGGGAATGGAGTGCCAAGTTCCGGGAGTGGAGTACTGAGTTCTGGGTATCAAATGTCAAACATTTGTCTGTTTGATGCTTGATTATTGGCACTCAAACATTGGTAATTGGTATTCGACAGTAGGTACTATCACATGGGTACTAAGCTATTTGCCTGTTCTATCCTTGCCAGGATGGAGGATGTACGTGATCCATCCTAGCCCATCCACATGAGGGAACCCCGGCATAAATATGAACAGAATCCCTCATGTACCATGCTCAAGCAATTCGATCCCCTTCTACTTCATGAACCCCATGTCTTACGATCCTTCCTGAAAACGCGATCATACAGCCGGGCTCATACATGAACTCCAGCTGAAGACTTGGCATACTCATGCAAGCATTTGAATAATTACCCACGGTGGTGAGAATATCAAAGCATTCAGGAATGGATATGTGGTCTCGATGATTGGGGGTTTGCCGATTGGAAATGATGGTGAGGGTGTTAAACACGGATGCCCAGTACTGGAGGGTCTCTGACATCCTCGGAAGATTCTTCCTTTCAGCTGATTGTCCGAGGCTTAAAAAGGCTCATATCCCTGCCCAGTACTGCTCAGGATGCATCACCCTGAGTGTGGCTGATGCAATGGCTGCCGGCCTGGCAATGGCTTTGAGAATATTCTCGGAGAATGGTCCCTTCAATGAGGCAGATACTGCCAGGTCCAACAGATTCTACTGGATTGGTCAGTTTAACTATCGAAAATCACCATCTCATGAGATCCCACCTCGTGCCCCTGTTGAAACCAAGCCGGAGATAGATTGATGCATCTGGGAGATATGCCATCATTTTCCGAGCTTGGTTTGAACCAATCCTGATTAGTTCGCCAACTCCCATCAACCTTTACACTTTTTGCAAGGCTTGGACTGAGCAAATCGGAGGCTGCTAGAATTTCCTTCTGGAGTTCCCATTTCATATTCCATATACATCGAGCAACAAAATATGTTACCCACCTGGGTGGTTTCCGTCAGGGCATCCGGTAGGTACCACGCAATGATGGCGCCAGTAGCATCGAGAACTGTGGTGGGTGTGTCAACCAACTTTGTACCTTCATGGCCAGGAGGACACCTCTCAAGCAACTTCGCCTCTCTTTCTTCATTATGTCCAGTATCCTTTGGGGAGATCATTTTGCTGTATCTCGCAATATCAATCTGCATCCGAACTGTGAAGCAATTTGAATGATCAAATGGACTGTCCGAATCTGCTGGAAGACCCACTGGGATTGTTATATGCCTTTATGAGGCAATCCATCAATTGATCGCAAGCCATCACCAGATCGGTGTCTAGCTTAGGAGAAGGTATGACTGGGTCTCCTCCTGTTTTCTCAGCAATGAATTTCTGTTCGGTATATTCACATGCCTCATGAGTGACAGTCAAGGCCCAAGTGCGCCAGAAGGTTATTTCAATATTGGAGGTGGAAGACACATTCATGATGGTGTTGATCTTGGGAAATCAGATGGTCAATGCCGGATGTCCACAGACTTTAAAGGTGGTGGAGATAGGGTGGATCAGATAGGGAACCTTGATTTTAGCTTTCAAATATGGATTATCATTTCATTGCTATACTAATATGTCAATGAAATACCGGATAATTGGAAGGGGGCTAGATATCAAATATTTGAGTGTCGAGATCCGGGTCCCGGAACTCGGTACATGATGCTCGGTTCATTCAAATTTCGGTAGTTGGAACTCAGCTTTAAAAGACGGATTATCATTCATTGCAATGTTAGTATGTCAATGAAATACCAGATAATTGGAAGGGTGCTAGATATCAAATATTCCAGTGTCGAGACCCGGGTCCCGGAACTCGGTACATGATGCTCAGTTCATTCAAATTTTGGTAGTTGGAGCTTGGCACAGCACTCGATAGTCCCACCTGTCTATATCATATAACAACCTCAGCCCGCCCATCAACATCATATACATCTGGGCCCACCCATGTATATCATACAACACCCTTGGCTTGGCCCACCTGTCAACATCATATGTGTCTGGGCCCACCTGTGTATATGATAACAATTACCCTTGGCCCTACCCATCTAAGTGATACCCATCTACCTTGGTATATGCATCTACATAATATCCAACTACCTCGGCCCATCCGTCTATATAATACTCATGTACATCGGCCCACTCATCTACCTTACTTATTCCTGACATGGGCCCACCCACCTCCATCAGGAATAATATCACTCCCGGCCCATCCATCTTCTTTGAGGATATTCATAACATCGGCCCATGGTCCGCTGGCCCATCTTATATGGGATATTATGTACATCCGTTCACTCGTATAATACGGAGTTAGGTCACTGTAGTATGTGAAGAAGTTGCCTTTTCAGGACAAATCCTGATTCGGAACCCTAGAGATCATCTGAAAGTCTGGACTGGCCTCATGGCATGTCGTGGGACCTTAGAACCCCAACAAGCCCGACCCTAGGGTTAGATTTATGACTATCTCTGATACTATCTTTAGTGGAACCTTATTGGCTCTTCTTATCTCCTCAGGATCTATTCCTGGATTACAGAAATAAAGTCCATGGTTATTCTTATCTTATGGCATGGGAATTTAACTTACACATACTCATGCTTGACAGCACTGCCTTTCACACACCAGACTAGGGGAATATGTTCGATCCTCAGCTATGGCTGTACAGATCATGTTTTCTCCATTTGTGGATCACTAGCAGATATTTGTTGACTTTCAGCAAACTTAAGTATACTACCATTTGTCTAAGGTCACAGAGAAATCCTATGTAGATTGTTGCAGGTGTGAACAGTCAGTCTTTGAGTATTGCCCAGATGATGCCCAGATTGCCTAAAAGTGAGTCTATATCTTGTAGGGCACAGGTAAACAGTTTGTCATGGGCCAATCTTGGTGAATTTTCCAATAGGTCCTTCAACAGTTGAGCGCAGTCCTCGCTTCATTCTTCTAATTGGCCCATTATTGGAGATATGTCTCTGAACCACAGGTGACTGCCTGTCTGATGCATCCCTTCCTTGGCAAATGAGTGATACCAGTTCTCCCTCTCTTTATTGACTTCCTCTAAGTACTCCTGGGGTATCCTGAAGAAGATGTGGTTGTCAACCCACTTATCTAACAGACCTATGCCTTTATAGCGGAAGATCTCTGCTCCAGCATCAGTGACATGTCCATACACCCCAGCCGATGGCATTGCTCCAAAAGTCACGCAAGCATCTACATAGAACTTTGTCTTGAAAGCGCAGACTATTCCTGCCAGCCATTGCAATGGGTGTAAGGGTATTGTTCAGTAAGCTTCCTCAACATCTCGTGTCATGGCTTCTGATCTAGGCAGGAGGCTCACGACAATCTGGTAGACTGTAAAAAACTTGCCCCATGCAGTGGGGAAGTTATCCACATCAATGGACAAATTAATTGAGTGGCTTGGGAATAGTGCACTCGGGAGATGGTGGAAGGAGAAATTTTGTACTAGGCAAAATTTACCAGGTTTTCCTGGCTTGGGTATTATGGAAAGTGGGGAAGATTGGAATGGGCCTATTAAACTTTGTAGCATTTCCACTGAGAATGGCCCGATGTACCTCCTTTTGGTTAATTCTTTCTGAATGATAGTATCAAACTCACTCTCATATTCACTAACTGAATCTCTATTAGGGGGAGCCTGTACAACTGCAATAGTGGGGAAGTTTATTTTGAAACCTAAAACAAAACCCTCCAGAACCTTAGTGAATTGCTTGGAGACACCCACACGCTGTAGTTCACATGCCCAGGTGCTTGCTCTATGCGGGGTTGGAGGGAATTTCCTTCTGTGCTTGAGGGCACTTCCGGGCTCCATGGGTTGTGGCTTTGTAGCCTGAGCAGATGTGACATGTGTCATGTCTTGGGGTAGTGCAACCTTCATCTCTCTGCCAGGCTGTGCAAATTTGCTTGCTGTCCTTGGTCCAGAGGCCTTTGCAGATGCGTTTGGAGAAGGTCTCGTGCTGCTTGTCCCATGTCTGGGACAAAATGCACTCAATGGTGCGGTGTGGGTGCCTGCTGAGACAAACTGCGCAGTATGGGAGGGGGTCGGAAGATAATGATGCACAGGTGGTGCATACCTTCTTGTTGCTCCTGGAATGGTCCTCTGCAGTCTGGAGTGTTCTCTTTTGTCCCATCTGATGCTAGGCTGCTGCTGGCATTTGCTGATGTAGCTGTGTATGGTTGTTTGTTATGTAGGCTGCTGCTGCTTGCTGCATTAGCATGCCTGTACATGGTGATAGTTACAGTGGGGGGTGGGCATGCATTATGTGAAGGAGGGATTTGGGTGATGTGAGTGGCATGTGATTGGCCACAGCATCAGTTTTTCCACATTGTGATGACAGTGTTGGGGTGATTGTGTGAAGAACATGGAGTTGTTCTATTGGCGCATGATGGCCGACAAAACAGAAACACGGCAAATGATTATGCAGCATGTTGAAAAACATGTAGAAGGGTATTTGTAAATGAAAATGTTTAGGTTAGAGGGGCTTGAGGATACTCATGGCAGTGCAGCTGACCTGAATGGCTCTTGCTGTTTGCTTCTCCAAATGCTTGTCAAATATTTCCTCTCTCGCCTCTATCAATAAGTCTTGGTTTAATTCTTTGAGACTCCAGCCTTGCAATGTCCTGACTGTGAGGTACCACCTGTGGTGTTGCTGGGACCAATAGAGTAGCAGAGTGTGCTGCTTCAATTGGTCTGGTGAGTGGAGCCAGTGGTGATTCTGTAGTGTGGACCAAAATTGTATGTGCATATCAATGTGATTGTCTGGCCAGTCCTGGACTCTCATCATGGTGATCATGCGGGGAGCAGCTTCATTGAACTCTTCCCAGGATAGATGCTTGTCCTTGATGATGGCTGCTGCTTTGGGGTCTTTGATGGCAGCTGCAGGAACCCATGTGTGCACTCTGTTGGCTTCTGGGAGCATGACTAGTGCTTCTGGTTTGGCGACAAGCACTGCAGTTTTGGTGTCCTTCAGGCCTTTGTTAGTGAAGTAATGCAATTTGCAAAAATCACCCACTTTTAACTTCCTGATGGCATATGCTGCGGGTATAATGCTGGCGTCAGAAGGGACCTTTCCATGCCTGATGGGTGTGTATTTGTTCTTGTTTTTCTTTCTTTCTTTCTTCTAGTCTAGTGGCTTCTTCTTTGTCATGGAGAAGTTGTAAATGATGCTCTTCTTCTTCTTCATTTTGCCGATGGATTTTCTCTAGCCTTTGCTGTTTTGCAGCCCAACATTCCTTGGCTGCGTTGTTAGTTATTGTCCATAGTGATGCTAAAGAGCGAGTGGCTTGGTTGTCTGTGAGACCCTCTGCCACAAGTTGCTGACACACTTCCCAGTGTTTGTCTGATACATAATCTGGCATGACAGCCTCATTTGGATCATCTTGGAACATTTGTGGGGATGGATACAGTAATGCAAAGCTGCGATCTAGTAGCTAGAACCTAGAGTGAGAGACAACTACGAGGTGGGCAAAAGCAAGAAGTGCTGTGCCACCTTACTAATTTTTGCACGTAGACTACATTCTAAGCTAGCCTCATGCCTTGGCTAGCTTAGAAAACCCACTCACCACTATGTTGAGCACACTGCTGGACAAGTATGATAAGGACAAGTGTGGCTGGGATGGAACAGTGAACCATATATTGATGTCCAACAGTGACAGTGACTTCAAGCTTGACTCAAACACTGACTTGGATACTGACTTCGAAGTCTTGGACCTCAAAGGTGAAGAACTGTTGGAAAGTCTGGGATTATGCATCGAGAAAGAGCTGGAGTTGCTCAGTACACCAACACCCTATGAAAAAATTCAAAAAAATGCTGCTCACCAATGGGACAAGGCCAAGAAGAATTGTTGTCTCAGTTATAATGGCCTGTCTGCACATACACAATGTTGGCAAAATCAAAAAGCACAAGCAAAAGAACAGAGTGACACTGTTTTGTGTGAGAGCTGAGTTGAAGGCATTCCCATGGCAAATAATTTTTGCTCACCAACAAATACCAAAGGTGCCACTATGATGCAGTCATTTTTGAAAAGTAAACTAAAGCTCCCATGCCAATCCCAATCACTGGCCTCTGAGTCACTGCCATATATTGGCACTTCAACCAACTTGTTGCCTATGGTTACACCAGTATTCTTCACTGGTTATCTTTCAGACTTGTCAGACTCAGATGTTGAACTTACAGATGATGATGTTGACACCAACCATGGTTCTGTCCCTCTGCTGACAGCTCAGTCTCCCTTACCAATTCAACAGCCACCATCTTTAAAAAGACAACAACTCAAAGTTCCTGCATGTGTCGCACATCAGCAGGCTAAAAATAACCACCAAATAGAGAGGGAGCAAGCTCTCAGAGACATCAAGAAGCTTATCCAATCAAAGAGAGAATTATTTGATGGGGACACAATGGATTGCAGTCATATCATGCAAGAGCCATACAGAGCTGTTTGTGGATGGTCGTCCACAACAAGAAAAAAAGCTTCAAAGCATCCCAGAGGGCTGCTGAAAGCCAGGGATTTGCAGAGAAGTGGGTTGACAAGCAAGAGTTACCAGTCTTGTCAAAAGGCCAGCACAAGAAAACATTCTCACTGTATGATGATCCTGCAATATGAGCCAAGCTGTGATCATTTGTCTGGTCAAACAAGTGGGTCATGAATCCAGAGAAGCTCATTCAATTCAGCAAGCAAGAAATGATCCCCAAAGCTGCTGAGCAATACCTTCAACACATTACCACTGTCAAAATGCCACAAGGTCTCAAGAAATATCTGGAGATTGAGCTCTTTCCACAAATTCAACAGAAGCCAAGTGGAGGGGTATCACTTTCAACTGCACATTGTCTGTTGAAGCAGGAAGGATTTCAGTTTCAAGAGTACAAAAAAGCCTTGTATTATGATGGCCATGAATGGCCTGATGTTGTTGAAGACCGACAAACTTGCTTTCTCCTAAATATGGCAAAGCTAAAGGAGCGAGTCATAGAATATGTGGTTGGAGATGTTGATCAAGAGCTGGTGAAGACACCATCCAATTATGTTGAGAGATGGCTTGTGCTTTGTGCACATGACAAAATGACTGCCCAAACAAACAATGACATGGGGAAAGGCTAGATTCTTGAGGGGGAACAACCATTGTGGATAGTGATGTTCCAGCCTGGCTTGACTCGAAAGCTGTGACTTTGGCTTGGCTTCAGACGGCTTGGGCTTGCAAAAAATCCAGGCCGGGCCAAAGCCACCAGTAACGGCTGGCTTTGGCTCGGCTCTGGCCTGAGCCACGGCCCGAGTACTGTAGATATAAAATTGTGAGTATGGGTTAAGATATGAACTTGAAGTACTCACCTGTGCAGTGGGAGGGGAAGTGTGATGGGCCAGAGGGAACTGGCCAGGTAGAACATGAGGCCGTGCAACGGTGATGACTCCAGGAGTGACTCAATGAATGACAACATCATTAGTGCTGTGGCGGTCCAGTTCAGTCCAGTTCAGAGGAGGTTGGATGATTCTACCATCAGCATTTGCAAATGAACACCAATGCATGAGAACATCTACAAATGTGTCCAAACCAAACACAGTGGCAGAAGCATATGCAAATGAATGCAAATGTATGAGAATGTCATCAAAACTGTTGGAATGCAAACAAGAGTGAACATTAATGTCGAAGAACACAATAGACGTGAAAATTGACTTACCCAGTGTGACGATCAAACAACACATGAAAAAACTTGTAAGTAGTGTACCTATATACATAGATTATGACCAGGAACAAGTAGTGTCGTGACAAGCGCACGCATGCACAAATGTGTGCAGACAGCTTCAGACCAGTGCAAACCATGGTAGAGAAGCAGAAATATGCGGTGGCCCACAGCACACACAATCAAGTAGGGAGATACGACAATTAGTGCTGGCAGGTGCAGATGAGCAGGGACAACAAGCACAGACAAGTACAAACAAGTGGAAACTCACACAAAGAAGCACAGATGAGTGAAAAACATCCATTAGTAGTAATTGCCTGGTCCTTCACAAGCGCATGAATGAACACATTAGATACTGGGAGAAACGAGACCGACAAAAATAAATTAGTAAATCAAAGGTCATGATATTGTAAGTGCTTAGCAAGAAAACTCTTGATGTGACTCAGTGTTTGTTTGGATCCAAAGCCTTTGCCAAACAACTGTTGCTGCCAGCGACGTTTACAAGGCTCGTTGCTCAGACTTGCTGGTATCTCACTCTTGCTTTCACCAGGAATGTAATACTGATCATGGTGATGATAATTGGTTCAGGTTTTGGAACGGTTTCACTGCCTCTGCAAACCCTACAAAGCCACAGCTCAGGCCGCCAGCTTTGGCTTTCCAGAATTCCAAGCCGGGCCAAAGCCATGGTCAGGCCATCACTTTGGCCCAGCTTGGCCCAGCCTAATTGGGCCCAGCTTGGCTCGGCCCACAGCTTCAAGCCAGGCCATGCATATCACTAATTGTGGAAGAAGGGTGTTGGACAGGGTATTCATTAAAGTGATGTCATTTGTTCAACTGTTGGTTGGTTGAAGGAGGCCAGTCAAACACTCAAGTATGGAAAAAATCATGATGGATATTGGAATGGAGAACTCTTCATCAAACAGGTGTGCAATTTGTTGTGCCTTGTAATCTACCGTGTGGATACTGAATCAATTTTGTGTCATGTCAAAGCTCAAGTAGAAGATCATTCCTGCATTTGAGCAAGCCCATGGTCCTGGATATCAAGCACTCATAATGGTTGACAACTCTCAAGGTCACTCTGCATATGCTGAAGGTGCCCTTCTTTCATCATGAATGAATCTTTGCCCTGGTGGAAAACAAGCAGACCTTTGAGATGGTTGGTTCATGCAGGACAGAATCAAAGTCATGCAAAAGATGACATTCTCAAATGACTATCCAGAATTCCCAGGTATGCCGAAAGGCATCAAACAGGTACTGTTGGAGTGTGGGCTCTGGGAGCACAAGCTTCAGATGAAGTGTCCAGGGCACTGCACATCAGACAAGTGCAGTGTGCAACACAAATTCTCGACCTTCAGCCAGACTTTAAGGCACAGAAGTCCCTGGTTCAAGAAGTGATTGAAGATGCTGGTCATATGTGTATCTTCCTTCCAAAGTTTCACTGTGAACTGAACTTCATCAAGTTTTTTGGGGAGCCATGAAGAGGTTTCTTCGAGAGAACTGTGATTACACATTCACGACACTGAAAGAAAACATGCCAAAGGTTTTGGACTCCATTGGGATTCATATAATTCAAAAATGGGAACATTGGATGAAGCGGTGGATGGAGGCTTATGAGTCGGGGCTCGGGGCGAAAGATGCTCAATTCCAAGTGAAGGCATCCAGCTCAAGGACGTACAAATCCCACAGACGCATTCCTGAGGCAGTCGCCCATCTGCTTGACCAGCGTTAATTACCATATACAGTAGTTCCCACGCCATCTGGCCAATTCTTAGACGCAGGAAATTTATATCTCCCTCAAATTTTAAGATATGGGAAATCGGTCTGGTAGATCAACTCTGATGCTTATTCGGAGTGTTTCTGTGAGAGGAATAAGGATTTGAAACATGTCTGCATGTGTGATAAATTTTGTACAAAAGTAGCGGTGACTAGGCGGCGCGCACCATAGGCTGTGGTGGTTAAGGGTGAAAAAGACTTAACAAAAATCAACAAGTTCATGATCACGACGTCGTCGTATTGCGCATCTAGATACCTAAGTACAGAAGAGATCCGCACAAGTTGTTTTCAAGACGAGAAATCAGGTTGCCACAGAACGCGTTAACCATTGATAGCTGCTTCTCCCCACAGGCTCCCCGAGGTGACAAAGCATGGTGTACGTATGTCGTCGGTGCTGTAGATGGTCGTAGGCGTTGCTAGGACGGAGGTGGTCTTCGCACAGTTCAACGTCTCAAGGATGACCCAGAGTTTTAGCTGCCAGTACTCCACCTGGACGCTATTTTCTCGTGCGGAACCCCCGTTAGACTTCCTGGGCGTATTCCATTGTTCGGCCGTGCAGTCTGAACATTTTGGTCAAGCAGGGCTTGATCTATACGACTACATGGTGAGCATAACGAGAATATTATCACGAAACAAAGCTACCTTCACTAGGGCCTGAGTTGCGTGGCGGCGCATTTCTGGTCACCCAAGATGGATGATACGCAGGCGGAAGCCTATCTGCAGGTGCATCATCGGGAGGGATCAAAGTGCCAGCATCATCTTCTCGGCTGTAAAGTGCTGCTTCCGACACACTGTCATTCACAAGATATGACGTGCCAGTGGATGTGTTTAAGGATTGGCCCCGCTCAGGGCTCAAGGAATGCGTCACCGGGGGAGTAGACCCTCTATACCCATGAGATCGTCGAACGGGACTGAGACTGCTATATCTCTGAGTGGCTACTAGGGAATGTTGTGAGTCCGTGAGTGCACAAATTAAGAGTGTAAGTACCTGGTTCGGTATCCGTGGAGGACGCTCCATAGACAAGCTGGTTGTCAGGGAATTGACCAAGAAACGAGGATGGCGTGTCCTGGATCATGCGAGGCTTCTTGTGTCGCCTGTAACAGAAAACTCCACCGAGCACTGCGATTATGGCAAACGCGGCGCCACCCACTGCACCACCGACGATGGCTCCCTGCGCACTGGATGAAGTAGATGAAGTATTATTTGCAGAGCTAGACGGGATTGCAGAGCTAGACGGGATTGCAGAGCTAGACGGGATTGCAGAGCTAGACGGGACTGCAGAGGCAGCACCGATGCCAGTGAGAGTTGTAGTAGGGACCGATGTCGATGTAGGAAGGGATGCTGAAGGTGAGACTTGGTTCGGGCAAACCGTGAAAGTGTTATTGTTGTTTGCTACCTGTTGTTCTTGTGCATATTCCACTGTCCATCGACTGGGTCATCGTGAGGAATGAGCTACTGCACCCTTTGATCTTTGACTCACTAGTACCTGGTTCAGGGTAAGCCAAGTACTGGCAGGCATGTATTTCAAGTTGAAACTTACCAGGATCCATCACCCCAATAGGATCTATTGTACAGAAAATTATCAAGTTTGATATTTTCGTTGCACACAGCTTGCTGGACGGTTGATGGGAGCCTAAATTATATCAAGTGACGCGTGAGTGGGTGCGCTGCCTTCAATCTTAGAACACTCACGATTGATTTGTAATTGGATAACATGTCGCGAGATAAGTAGTATAGGTTCCAGGAGCTGCAGAATAAGTGAGTCGTCATTTTCAAACGGATTAAACTCATATTACCCGCGTCAATTCCAGTTGCATTGCCGCTTGGATCAGCATCTAGTTGGCAACTGTATTTTGATACAAGTGTTATGAGCGAGCAATGAAAGAGAAAGAAAAGTGTGTATTACTTCATGCAGAGCATGCTTAATGCGAATGCGACAGAATTGCAGCAACAATCTCCTAATCATCAGTTCAGCAAGAGTAGTGGGTCGGTACGAGAAGAAGAGGCCTACCAACTTGATCATTGCAACGATCACCAGGGGTGGTCGCCGCAAAATTGCCAACCACATCTGATTGTTAAGCACGTCAGTGCATGCAAGAGAAAGACTTAGAGACACCCACAATCACTGTTGCATATTTGTCGAAGCCGCTGATATGTCATGCCTGACTTATTAATTTGCCATGTGACCACTTCAAATGTAAGTAAGGACTTACAAGGCGTTTCACCAACTGCGCTTGTGTACCAATCCAATTGACCGCTAAGACACGTCGTATTACCGGCCGCTAAAACAGCACCTGCATAATACAGATATAACAGGCCAACCCATGCAAGTCCTTGCATGCCTGTCATTGCCTGATGGTCTACGCGACGCCCACAGTATTATGTGACAGTATTGATATCGAGGTGTGGGAGGGCCAAAGGTGGGTGGTCGACTTGACACTGGGACATTAAATATCCGTCCATCATGGTCAACTTTGTTCGGCAGCAGTGCCACGACGAAAGCGCTGGAATCGATCGAAGTTGGAAGTACTTAAGCCTCATCTCTTTCATCTCATCAGCTGCCCAGAAGCAACAATCAAGTTGAGATTTTATCGGAGTACAAATCAGCACCGGTATCACGGTTACACTGGTACAGCGGGAATTCGCGCCCTTTCGCGCCTCATTGGAAAAGTGTTCCTCTCCCGTCCATATGGCATATTGTTCAACTGTTATATTCTGGTAACGACTCCTAAACTTGAATATTAGAGTCATTGTAAAAAAACTTCAAGTGCCTGTACGTAAGCTATCTATCGGTCCCTGAGACACCATCTCCCGCATTCACATCCCTTCCGGTGCAATCGGCACCCCACAGAAGTCGGCAGGTCACATTTTGGTGATAATTAATTTTATTACAATCGGTCACAGGCAGTCACACAAAACCTTGCGAAAATGCGTGACTGCCTCAAAAAATACCTCTACAAGGATAATTGATCTTGCCTCTCACATGGTATCAAAAATTTTATGATCTTACAGCCATTTGCAGAACGCTAGGCCAAAAAAAAATACACAGCGGTATTTTAACTTCTATTCTCCGATCAGATATCGATACGTCCTCCGAAGATATCGCAATGATCGCTTACTAATCCCAGTGTAACGATGAATTGTTGGAGAACATGGTAACGTCGTGCAAGGTGACGTTACTTAGTCATGCCTGACCCCCAGGGAGTGATGTGTGACCTGTTACCATTCCGAAATAGATCAGCTCTCTATCTTTCAGAAAGCATGTTACCATTCGACTGACGTTATTTAGTAAAGATTGGACCCTGTAAACTGTGTCGGAGAAAGGCACGAATATTTTTTCATGTATTATCGTCTTTATTGTCCTAATTACATATCTCTTCGTTGTCCTACTCGTCGAGCTCCCGGTCTTTGTGCACAGCATCCTCTGCCTTTTTCTCCAATCCTAGTGCCCGTGAATGCCGCCATCTCTCTGCATCCTGCCTATAACCCCTGACATCAATCCTACTCCTGCTCCTGCTCCTTCCTGCAACCCAGCTATGCCGTCGCCGCCGGTTGATTTTTTTGGAACAGCGCATCAAGACCGGGCGGCACTTCCGTGTCAAGATCCAACGCCAGATCGCCATCACGCTCGTAGTCGACATTCATTGCCTCTTCCCTTCAATCCTCGTTGTCTCTGCCCACCAGTTACCACTACCCTGGCGCCTTTGCTTCTGTCTTCAGTGATTTCCACTTTTTTTCGTCCACTCGTACCTTGCAGCTCCACCTGGTACATACTACCTACTATGTATCAGTGCCTACATACATGTTCTTGTCATGATAGTCATAATTTGAATATTGCAGCAAACCAAAGACACGAGAATTTAAGTTGGTTATGATTAAAAATTTGTGGTATGTAAAGAACAAAACACTGTCAAGGATATTCTACACTGTACACCCAAGTTCTGTATAGGAGAGGGTGGCAGACATGAGGGAATGGGGACACGAGGATGAAGAAGCCAAAAAGTGATGCATGGAGAAGCGACACCAGCAGCAGCGGTTTTTGTTGGGGCGTCAAGAACTGGTAGTACCGTGGAAGTTGGAAGGTCGGAGATGTCGATGTCGAGTATTGGAGTGCTCGCTGATGTGATGTAGGAGTGGCATGAACGCGGTCCAGAACAAGGCAGAACATATGCGCGAGGGCGGCG